GAGTGGTATTGGTATTTTTATAGCATCACAAGCTTATTTGACTGCATTAAGACCATAGAAACCTGTACAAGTCCATCTAAGCCCCCCCCCAACTCTAGTGCATAGCCATTTGGGTGATCTCATCTAAGAATAATCTATGTATGCAAAGATTTAATTAAAAATATACACAAGCAGATTAACAAATGTAACTTTTTAAAAAAGTGCCACAATTTTTACAGAATTATTTCTGGCTTCAGCTAAGCTAAAAAAAAAGCCTATTGCCCCACCCCACCCTACCAGGCTCTCCAAACAAGGATGGGCGTCTGGTGCCTTCAGCCCCTCTGCTCTGAGCCCCTCTACACTCTCAATGCAAAAACGGAGGGAGAAGCCGTGTGCTCCCACTAGAAATGAAAGCCACATTACACAGAAAGATGGGCGCTTGGTTCTCCCTTGCATCCCTCCCTGGGAAACACCCCAAGAGGGGCTCCTTTCCAGCAAGGGAGACAAAGCCCCTGCCCTCCTCTGGGCACAGCCGGACCCTTCTCCCTCCACCTATGCTGCGCAGTGAGGGAAACAGAAATGCTACACAACCTTTAGCCTCCCAATCCTTGTGCACAGCTCAGATTGAGGCTGTGCTGTAAAAACGCCCTCTCTGGTAAAAACGGTTTGCCTCCACTGCTGAGGAGCTGTGTGCATCAAAAACCTTTAGTGCACGGGTGTGAAACTCTCCACATCACATGACGTGTCGTATCGTGACTTTTTTTTGCATTGCCAGAGCTGGGGTTGGCACGGCCTCCGTATGATGCAACTAGCCCGCGTGCCATCAGTTTGACACCCCTGCTTTAGTGCGATCAAATGGGAGCAGAATTAGGGCATGCCCCCCTCCCCCCAGTGCAAATAATGCAACCAACGGGCTCTTCCCCACAAGAGAAATTCTCTCCCCTCTGGAGAGAACCTGGCTGGCTGCTCCGCTCAGCAGGCCAGGAAATACATCCGTACAATCAGATTTCATTGCTTTTCAAATGCCTTTCTTGGTTAACCCCACAGGCCCTCCATCCCAACAGCATGGCAGGAAAAGCTTACCAGGATGCAGAGAAAGGCCCATGTGCTCCAGAGCAAGAGGGTGACATGTCAAACTAAGTCAGAAATCCTTTTTCCCCACTTTAAATAACATTCTTTGGTACTAATACTACAAACACATTCTTTCCGTCAAAACTGCAACAAATGAACACAGAAGCAGCTTAAGCTTTTACATGGTGCTTCAGACAAAAGAGAACTCAGAGTTCCAGTAAAATTAAGGGACAGGATTGGAAAAAAAGTTTTCCAAAAGAAAACGGAAAAACATAGATATAGGCATCTTTAACTACAGAAAATCTAAGATTCTTAAGCACATACATCCCACATGAAAAATAAAATGCAATAAATCCCAAATCTGTGATGCACAGCCATTGTCATCAGAGTCGTGATGTTGTCTAGGGTCAAATGCTCAGGTCCCTTCTTTGTGCAATGGGAGCGCACCTTTCCTTCAATCCTCGGCCATCTTCTTTTTCCCCAACTGCCAAAGGTTCAAGGCCAAGCGTGCCCCAGGGGGAGCCCATCCGGGGCAAAGGAGCAGGAGGCAGCAGCCGCGGAAAGGCCATCGTCCATCCAGCGCCCCCTCGCTTGTCAGTCCTTTTACAGTCCTGTGCATTTTCAGAGTGATTGAGGTCTGGCAAATGACTTCTCATATCATAAAAGGCAATTTTCATATGGCAGAATAGAATGTCCTCAAGCCTAAGTACACTTTTAAAAATGCGTGATAATTTTGATGCATAAGCTGCATGGTACTAAAAATATGGACTGATGACTATGTAAATGCTTTTTTCCCCTTTTCCCTTGTACTGCTGCAGCAGTAGTCCACTGAAAATAAACTGAAGAAAGTAAATATTTAACTCCTGGCCACCACTAATCCATTCTCCAATATTTACATGACATTCATTAAAAAGGATTTGAAAGGATCTTCCAGAAATGGTCAGAAGATGAAGCTTCTCCTGGACCTGATGCGCATTGGAAGATTGCTTGATGCTGAAGAGACAGATGAGAAATCATGACAGGTTACAGCAACCATAACTGAGTAATCCTGGGGCACCTGAAGAACTAGCAAGTTCACTGTGGTATCAAAAACAGGAAGCAGCCATGCTAGATTGCAGAGGTCTACCAGGTGGCACTTTGGTTGCATGTGGATTTTGAAGATGGCAGAGGAGGAACTCTCTGCCATTTTGCAACAGCTTAGCATGAAGGATGCACGTTGCCCTTGAATTTCAAGATTTTCAGAAGATTTGAGTATGGAGGAAAGTACCCTGAAACCAAGCACAGCATGCATGCACAATGGAAAGCCACGGACACAGCTCCCCACAGCTAGCTCTGTGGAAGGCACATCACAAGTACAATGCAGTGGAGGGAAGTTGAATCAGCAGACTGATCTGAACCATTTGGGTTCATCAAATACAGAAGTGCTTTTAGCATTTCTGCCCAACTTTTGATGGCCTTGTTTTCACTCATTTATAGGGGCACCTGGGGCAATATTTCTAAAATGAATAATGAACTTATATTAAGTCTACAGGGAAGGATGGTTAAGAGTGCAATTCATCTAGTTTGCTGTATGTGGGAGGAGGAGGTTTTCAGACCAAGCACCCAAAATGTAGATTCTTGTCTTAAAAAAAAAGCTTCATTGTGTTTTTTTAAAAAAATCTCTTGAGATAGCATGAACAAGGTTCAGGAAAGCCCAAACATCCATAGCATTGTCACTGTTCCTCTAAGGAATGAGAGAAGGAGAGAGGAACCTCAATACAGAAAACAGAAGCGTATTTCAATGGTATTTCTAATTATTGTTGTTAACAATCCAAAAATTACAAAGCAGGTCAAAAATAAATTTACTTTAGCAATGCAATGGACAGCATCACTCCAAAGCATCAGCTAATTCAATGTATTGCTGTTTTATAGTTCTTGTTTCTGCAGAGATGAAACCAAACATTGGTCATTTTAACTCTGCGTTGCTAGAAATGTAACCTTGTTTTTCTGTTAGCTGAAGCCTGGAGTGTGCAGGATCCATCAAAGACACAAAAATGGCCAGGTAATTAATGAATGTAAGCGTCAGATCAAAATGACCCAAGGCGGGCCAGCTTTAAAATCAGAGCAAGACATCTTGAAATCACAGCAGATGAAGAACCGGGCAGGGCCTCATGAGGGCCAGGCAGTTTTCCAAACGTTTGATCCTAATTTTGTTATTCTCAGTAGCATCACCTTGTGCTACAAAATGATGCTTAATAGGAAAATAAATCAAGATAATGTTCTCATTACAACCACGGACTTTTCATACATTCACTTATGGTATCTAAGGGCATGTTTTGAATGTTCTTTTCAGCAAAAATGCCCAGGTGTATTTTTTTTTCTGAAAAACAAAACAAAAAAACCCTAATTCACCTAGATGGCTTCTTTGAATCTTTGGATTCCAGCTCATGGGATTTCATGGTAAGTGATATCACAGTACAGCTGGATTAGAAAAAGGGACTTTGTTTTCCATTAAAAATGAGGTATAATTTTGAGAGGATGGTTTCCTTATCTTCTTTGATAAGGCCGTTTCTCCTATTGTTCAACAGAAATTGCAGATAGGAAAAGAGGCTCCATCATTTTTTCCTTGCAGTGTAGTTTAATACATTAGGAACCCATGTTAAGTTTCAAAAAAAATGTCTTGGGATGGGCTAGGACAATGCTGATGGATGTTCCCAGGAAAGTTCATGGATTTGTATGATTTCTGAGACTGTTCCCTGCCATACAGGAAAAAGCAATTGAGCCAAGGAAGTCTCTAGAAAATTAAAAGAATAATGTGTGTGTGCGTGCGAGAGAGAGAGAGAGAGAGAGAGAGAGAGAGAGAGAGAGAGAGAGAGAGAGAGAGAGAGAGAGAGAGAGAGAGAGAGAGAGAGAGA